CTTTGCTGATAAAGGAAATTCCTGAGAATATCATGAATAGCCAAGAAAACCAACGAATGCATCATAAAACTAATCAGTCCAAAGAACTTACTTGAAGCACAAATTACAAGGCTCAAAAATCATATTTTGTACCCAATATGCAGAGATCGTGGGGGGGAGGGATGTGGTATGGCAGTTACGGCACAAGGCTAGAAACCAGAAGGGTGCGAGTTCTAGTTCTGCCTTAGGCATAAAGCCAGTTGTGTGCCTTGGTCCAGGCACTTCTCAGTCTTAGGAAGAAAGCAAGGGAAATCACTTCCAAAAAAAGGTTGCCAAGGAAACTGTTGTGACTTGTCCAGACAGTCCCCAGGAATCAACACTGACTTGAAGGGTCCAAAAAAAATGCAAAGACCCAGCCACTCCGTATTGCTGGTCTCAACTGCAACAGTGATGGGTCCACTGGATTGGAAGAGTGATGGGTCCACATTGGAAGAGCCCAAAGGCCAGTCTGGAAACAGATGGTGCTGAAGAAAGTTTATCAACATGGTTAAGGGTTGACACTGACACAATAAACACACAATATAGTCCATCACAAATGAGACCAAGGCAGAGTCTGGATTAGGAGTGTTTCCCCAGAAGCCTCATGGGCAAAGTTGGCAATTCTGGAGGACTCCCACTGCACTGGGTTTCTCCAAGGCCATAGCCAGTGGCAATGGTCCTGAAAGACACAACCTCTGTGACCACTTTGGAAGTAGCAGCTTCCGCAATCTGGGCTGCTATCCACCATGCTGCCTGGCAGGATCGATGCCCGAACTCGTGAATCTTGGCGAGTTTATCTCACCAAGTTGGAAAGAATAGAGAGCTAAATGGGGTGTGTGTGTGTAGGATGTAATGCTCATCTAAGGTTCAATAGACTTGAGAGACTATTACAGCACAACCTGCACACAGTGCTGGTAAAGTGGGATGACGAATCTGCCCCCTTTGTGGCAAACCAGCCACGGGACTCCCCATGCAAAGGCCGGCCAAAATGGAAAAAATTTGGCCCCCCAAAATGGAAGGGGCCATTCCTTCATGGGAATTCATTTTCAGGACTCTCTCCCAAAACCCAACCTCTTCTGTATGCATCCATGCCCCCCCCATAGGAAGATGTCCCTGCCCCCTCGTCTCAGTCACAGCAGAGGGTGCCTCTCTTTCACCCGATTTCTAACTGATCATCTGACTGACTGTTTTTTTATTGTTTTTCTCATTTCATGTTTAACTGACTGTGGGCTCCCCTGAGGGCTCAAACTGAGTAGCCCCAAGGGTTGCAAATGACACAAAGAGAACCAGATAAGTCGAGGGAATGGCCTCCTCCATATTTTTCTTCATTTTCCTCTCCAACATGAGATCTGATTTAGCCAGCATTGCTCAGAGAAGGACACAAAGTAAACAGGGGGAAACCAATACTCAGAAAACATTTTGATTTGAAAATAAAAAATAAAAAATAAAAAAATCAGAGCAACTTTTAAAAATTCTTTGAATATGACATTTGGATTACATTAAATATGTTTGCTTTATTTCCCCTCCCCCCCAACACAAATCCATTAAAGCAGTTTTCATTACTGAAACATAAACCACTGAAATATGGCAATGAGAGAAATGTAGGAGGGAATACAGGGACCATAATCTGAACATTACATTCAAACACACTCATATTTTATCAGAAGAAGATTTTGATTGGAAGAAGCCTGTCAATATTTTAGTTCTGAACTCACATTTGATAGTGTCTATCTTCTATCTTATGAGGAGGAATTTGTGGGATTTCATTTTGGGGACCTAAACCAAATTATCAAAGAGACCAAATTTTCCAAAGCTGCCGCAAGGAACAATGGCTGGTCTCCTTTCCTTTGGCTGCCAGCTAACCAAATAAATCTTGGCACAAAGATGAGCCTTGCAAACAAATTTCTGCTTTTTAACTGGCACTAAATGTGGCAGAACCTGACTCTTGGCAGAACACCCCCCCTCCCCCAATGAGCCACTCCATCCGCCCAAAATGCTCCCTCAGCTTTGGTCTCCACCCTCCCACCCTCCCAGATATCCACACGTTTAGGAAATCTATTCTGGCATGAGGGATTCTTGAGCCTCTTTGTGTCTCTCAGGTTTTAGGAACACCGTAACCTACTTCTTTTTCTCCAAACTCTTAAGGGCTAATTGTTTTAACAAGAATTCTAATTTGGAGATTAATGTGCATTGCTTTAATTTTGTATTGTTTCATGCTTTTCATTGTTGTTGGCCAACATGGAAGATAGAAAAAAGCAGAAAATCAGCCATAGGTTAGCAACAACAATTTGCATTTGGCCTGCATTTTTTCTTGTTTGGCTCCAATGACATAGTGGAAATGCTGTACATGCACTGGACTGACCACCATCTTGCCACAGCTGGGCTGGCATGGGACATGGGTCTGGTTGCAACATGGCTGTGGACTCAAAAACCAGAGGTGGACAGTTCTGGGATGGAAGAGACACTCAGAAGGAGTGGGTGCCAGAGAAGCATGAGTTCAAAACATGCTTCACTCAGCCTTCTAAATAACAAGGCTGAGTTCATCCAGCTGTGACCTTGGCTGCTGCTTCTAGGACTTACTTTCTGGGTGAACTGGAGGAAAATCCTCTGGTTTATGATCCAAACATGTTTCAAAAAGGTCTCCCTGAGTTTAAGGGCCAAAGGGATTTTATGCTCGTGTTTAATGAATGCTTTTTTCCAACTTCCGTGATGTTTAGTTTAATCACTGCAATATACACACGTTCTTTATTGTGCTGTCACCAATCTGTTACTTCATTTCTTTGATTTAAAAAAGTGCATGGCAGGACGTATTTGTGGAGCCAAACAATGGACTAGCAACCAAACTACATACCTGTGGACAGTCCAGCCAGCCAGGTCCCCCTGCTCATCCCCACTTATTTATTTATTTATTTATTTATTAAATTTATATACCGCCCTATTCCTGAGGGACTCAGGGCGGTGAACAGCGAACGATAAAAATACATGTAATACAAACGTTAATAATAAAAAACCAATTAAAATATACTAAACATTCTGGTCCTAGATAATTCAAGATATCCCAGTTTAAAATAAAATCAAAAAGCAATATAAAGGGAAAGTTAGGCCAGGCCGGCCTGCTGAAACAGGAATGTTTTGAGGGCACGGCGGAAAGTGCGCAGATCCGGAATCTTCTGTATCTCTGGGGGGAGCTCGTTGACAGGATAGCAGAAGTAAGAGCTCAACTATTTCCCCCCTCCCCCCAAAAGACAAGGTGCCGCAAGCAGGACCCTCTCAGGGACCTGGAAATCCCCAGGATGAATAAAGAGAAGAGGAGCTGCAGCTGTAACAAGCACAGCAAAACAAAACCTAACCTCACAGTCACACTCCTCCTCCCCACACTTGGCATCATATGGAGAGCAGGCACCAAACACGCAGCCCACGATTTGTGGGCAGCCATCAAAATGCAGATGCGGAATTGAAAATGAGCAAATTCTCAGACTCGGGTGCTTAGTGACACCCCAATCCCTGAAAGGATCCATTTGGGAGAATCTCCCCCCACCCCTGCCCCACAGCAAAGCAGGGCTATTGCTTTCCCTGAGCTGAGCTCCCTGTTTCATTTGATCAAAACATTTTCTGGTCTCCTGCCCTTTCTCTCCAACCCTGCAAATAAAGTTGCTCACCTTTCCATCCATACACACACACACACAAACTTGGCTGTGAGCTCTGGTCAATTCCCACTCCTGTTCTGTCCTGAAAAGCTGCCTGGTCAGTCTCTGGATGCCCTGTGGAGAATCTGCCCTTCTTTCCTGGAGCTTGCAAGGAACCAATGATGCTGTTCCCCATAGAACAGCAGGGTGAGGGTGACCCTCTTGCCCAAACGGGGTTGGGGTTGGGTGGTGGTCTCCAAGCCCTTCTCTCAGAAGGGTTGAGGCACAAGCCCTTCCCACCACAAACAGGGCCTGCCTCTTCCTTCACCCTCTGTTCACACCCCAGGCCCACTGCAGTTCTCCTCCAGGGCTTCCGGCCCCAGCACTTCTGCCTTCAGAGAGACCAAGACAAGTCCGACTAAGGAGCAGAGCCTGCTGGGGCAAGCCAAGGTCAACTGAACCCTTCCTGCCCTCTTGCAGCCCAGCAAAGGTCCTCCACACACCTGTCCTCCAGGTACCTCTTGAAAGCCCCCCAGGCCTACTCCTGTCCCCACACCTGTGGCCGCAGATCTCCGGCCTTTCCGGAAACTGCATCCTCCTTGGCCTGGGCCGAGGATTTAGGCAGGGAGCCGGGGCGCTTTGTCCGGCCTGGCTGTGATTTGAGATGCCTCCAGCATCCTTCCTTTCGGCGGCCTTTCTCTTCGGGGCGTGAGGAATAAAGGCCCGGAAAGCGCCGCGGGGGGGATAAAGCACTTTCCCCGCTCCTCCCAACAGGCGCCCGTCTCGGCTTCGGATGGTTCAGTTGGCCAAGCAAAGAAGCCTGGCGGTTGCCCCTCGGCCTGAGCCACGGTCCGGGCCGCTCTCTGCCCAACTCCGGACCAAGCCGAGGCTCCCCGATCCCCCACCCCCACCCCCACATTCTCGGCTGCTCTGCCCGGCGCCCGTAGAGGCTCCCGCAGCCCGAAAAGGCCAGGCCCGGGCTGGGCACCGCCTCCGCCCCCCTCCGCCCCCCGGCGCCTTCCGGGAAGCGGCTCTCGCGGGTGGCGGAGGCTGCTCCGGCTTGCAACGCCCGAGCGGCTCCCTGCCTCCCGCGCCCGGACGTCCATCGGCGGCTCCAGTTTCGGGAAGCGGCGCGGGCCGCATCTGGCGGCAGCGAGCCCCGCATCCTGGGCGACCGGCAGTGCCGCCGCGGCACCTCCGGGAAAAGCTCCGCCGTCCCCTCTGTCACGCGCGGCCGGAGCTGGAGCCGCGGCAGCAGAGCCGAGGCTGCGCGAGGCGGCGGCGGCGGGGCAGCGGAGCCTCTGGAGCCGCGGTGGGGGGTGGCGGGCAGAGAAGGCACAGCCGTCCATCTCTTACCTCCGATGCCTGGAAGGGAGCGGGACTCGCCGGCGCAGCTGCCCGTCTGCTTCAGGCGCGCACCGCCGCTGGCCGGGGCTTCCGCCGGGGGCACATCGGGGAGCGAGGGAGGCGGCCGGCCGGCACGGAGCTGCTTTCCCGCTGGCTGCGCCGCCGCCGAGACCCTCCGGGGAGAGCCGCCCGCCAGTCGCGGCCGAGTCTGAAGCCGCGCCACCCCCGCACCTGCCGCCCCGGGAAAGCTGGGCTCGGCCGGCAAGAGAGGCTCGCTCGAGCGGCGGCGCCTCCGGCCGCGGCTAAAGGGCAGAGCGACGCGGCGGGCTCGGGCGCTGCCGACGGGCGGGAGCGAAGGATGCGCGCCGCCGTTCTCGGCGAGAGGAGGGGGAGGAGGAGGCGCGCACGCGCCACGCGGCCCCGCGGGGGCGCCGTCACTCCTCTGACCCCCCCCTCCACCGCGCCGGACCCGCCCCCTCAGCAGGTGCCGCTTCTGGCGCGGGGAAGTGGGTGGGAGGCCGGTCCCGCGCTCAGAGAGCCCCGAAACGGCGGCGGCGGCCTTGCTTCGCTTGCCCTTGGCCGGCGCCGAAGCCGCCCCGCTTCTCGCAGCCCCGCTCAGCCGCCGCCGCCGCCTGCCAATGGAGACTCCGGGACGAGGGGCAGCGGGCAGCGGGGCCGCTTCTCTGGCTGTGGGACAGGCTGCGCTCCGTCTGCGGGAGCCGCCCTGGGCAAGGTGGAAGGCCGGCTCTGGTCCGGGGCGTCAGCCGCGCCTCCCCCAACAGGGTCCCGACCCCGGTCTGGCTGGTTTTCCGCCTCCGTCCCCACAAGAGCAGCTAGGTGTGGGTCGCTGCCCCGATGCCCCCCCCCCCGGGACTCCGGCGGCGCCTGCACAAGGCGAGCGGCGCGAAGGGCGCTTCCCTGTCCCGCTCTCCCCTGGCCAGCAGCAGCGTTGCTAACGCTAGAATTAGGCTTATTAAAGATGCTGGCAATCGCCGAGTACCGTGGGTTCACCTTCCCCAACTTTCCGCCGGTGCTCCATAAAGAGAGACTTGTAACCTGAGCCGCAACCTAAGCCTCCCAGAATCGTTGACAATGTACACTCCTTCCCCCTTGGATGGCACAAACGTAATCCTTAAGGAAATACGGACGACTGCGCATTCGTCCTGACCGACGGAGTTCGCTGTCCTGGGACAGTGCTAGTTCCGGACTCTCAGAGAACGTCTCTGCAGGTTGCGCTAGCCCCTGAGCCATTGGAACTACCGGCGACTGAGCGGATGCAGTAGCAGGAGGCTCAGAGGTCGGAAGAGACACTGGTTCATCAGGGAAACAGGATGGCCGAGGCGCTATTATTGGTGAAGCATCGTGGGCCTTATCGTCCCATGGAGGTGGGGGCGAGGTCGTCTCTGGCGGATGGTCCATGGTCGGATCCGCATCTCCCGGGGTCTGGTTGGAAAGACGACCCCTTAATTGATCTATATGGCGCCGCCAGGCTCGTCCATCCTCGAGCTCGACTCTGTAAGAACATGGTCCCGTTATTAGAATGATGCGTCCAGGCAGCCACGGAGGGTCGCCCCCATAGTTTCTGGCATACACACAATCGCCAACCCCGAAAGACCGGGGGCGGCTAGATGAATCTACGGGGGCCTCAGGCGTGAAGCATGGGTGTAGCCTGTCCAAAGTGGTCCGTAAACGCCTGCCCATAAGGAGTTCAGCAGGGCTTCGATTGGTCAGCGGGCAAGGGGTAGAGTGTTGCGCCAAGAGATATTGCGCCACCTTTTCCTGCCAGTCCCCTGGGCCAAAACGGGCTAGGGCATCCTTGGCCGAGCGGACGGCCCTTTCAGCCCGGCCATTACTGGACGGATGATAAGGTGCCACCAAGGCATGGCGGATGCCCAACCCCGCAAGGAACAATTGAAACGTGGCCGAGGTGAATTGGGGCCCGTTGTCCGATACCACCACATCGGGTAAGCCGTGGGTGGCAAATAAATTGCGGAGGACCTTAATCACAGCGTCTGAAGTGGTTGATGCCATGCGAGCTATCTCCACCCACTTAGAGTACGCATCAACCACAATCAATAAGTTCTGTCCCATGAAAGGTCCAGCCAGGTCTATGTGGAGCCGGGACCAGGGGGACCTGGGCGTTTCCCACTCTCTAGGCGTGGCAGCAGGGGGCACAGGTCGGGACTGCTGGCATCGCTGACACCTGGCTACCCATTCAGAAATGGCCTGGTCCATTTTTGGCCACCAAACATAACTGCGGCCCAATGCCTTCATTCTATCGGTGCCTGGATGGCTCTCGTGCAAACGCTGTAAAACAGGCCTACGTAGTGTGGGGGGAATCACCACCCTGCTACCCCACAATAAACATCCCCGGGAGATGGAAAGTTCATGCTGACGGGTGGTAAAAGGTCGGAATTCCCCTGGGACCGGGCCCAGTGGCCACCCCCGACGAACCCAATCCAGGACCTGCACTAGAGTAGGGTCTTTAGCTGACAGTTTGGCAACGTCTGATGCTGTTACTAAATCAGGGCAATCATCGATTAACAAGACGGAGCGGTCCGGAGCAGGGTCATCAACAGCTATGGTAAGAGGACAGCGACTGAGACCATCAGCATTCCCCAGATGAGCCCCTGGGCGATAGACCAGCTGGTAATTGTAGGCCGCCAGAAAAACTGACCACCGAGTCATGCGGGGGGACATAATTTGTGGGGTCTGTTTATCGCCTGCCAACAAACCCAAGAGAGGCTTGTGGTCAGTGACTAATTGAAAAAAACGACCATAGACGTAATCGTGAAACCGCTTTACCGCGGCCACGAGCGCCAACGCCTCTTTATCCAATTGCCCATAATTCCTCTCAGCAGAGGACAAGGTTCTGGAGTAATAGGCAACTGGAGCCTCGGTTCCATTTGGCAATACGTGGCTCAATACAGCACCAATGCCGTATGGAGAGGCATCGCAAACTAATGTGAGGGGGAGGTTGTCATTGTACTGTATTAGCACAGCATTAGATGTGAGTAGGTTTTTTACAGCCGTGAAGGCTGTGGCATGGGGTTGTTCCCAAACCCAGGGAGCCTTACTGTCCAACAAACGATGAAGGGGTTCTGCCACAGAGGCCTTATGTGGAAGGAAGATGCTGTAAAAATTAAGCAGGCCCAAGAAAGCCTGTAACTCCGCTTTGCACGTGGGAGTCGGGGCCTTCTTAATGGCCTCGACCTTTGAAGGAGTAGGGTGGATGCCAGACCCATCCACAAGGAACCCTAAAAATTCAACTTGTGGCACTCCAAATTTGCATTTGGCCTTCTTGAGTTTCAGGCCATTTTGTTGGAATCTAATTAGCACCTGACGGGTGCGTTCTAGGAGATCTAGTTTGTTGTTGGCAGAAATTAAAACGTCATCGAAATAAGGGATGACACCGGGGATTCCCTGTAATAATCGCTCCATAAGGCTTTGAAAAATGCCGGGTGCAACACAAACCCCAAACTGCAGGCGGCGGCACTTAAAAGCGCCCCTATGGGTAACAATAGTCTGAGCGGTAGCCATGGCATCATCAACAGGAAGCTGCTGATATGCCTGGGTCATATCTAATTTAGCGAAGATGGTACCATGACCCAAAGAATGTAATAAATGTTGGACTACTGGGACTGGATAAGGGTGTGCCTGCAAAGCACGGTTGAGGGTGCACTTAAAGTCACCGCATATGCGGATAGACCCGTCCTGCTTAGTGGGAATGACAATGGGGGTCTCCCATTTGGAATAATCGGTGGGTTCAAGTATTCCCTGGGCCAATAGTTTGTCTAATTCAGCATCCACCTTGGGGCGGAGGGCAAAAGGCACCCGTCGGGGCTTGAGTCTTATGGGTGCCACCTGAGGGTCAAGGTTAAGGGAGATGGGGGTACCCTTATAGTTACCCAGAGAGCCATCGAAGACCTCAGCAAACTCGGAGGTTAGGGCCTCGAAACCATCAGCGACGGTGGTGTGGACGCCCGAGACGGTGAGCCCCAACGCCTCGAACCAGTCTAACCCTAACAAACTGGGAAGGCTACCCTTAACAACAAGAACTGGGAGGGACCCTGAGAAATCTCCTTTCTCAACTAGGAAATTGCCACAACCCAAAATGGGAATACTATTCCCCTGGTAATCATGGAGCCTGGTGTTGCAAGGCTGTAGCTGCTCAGGTGAGATGGTCGGCACCAGCTTCTTTAGTGTCTGCCAGGCGAGTATGGATTTGGAGGACCCGGTGTCCACTTCCATTCTGCACGGCCTTCCTTCAACCTGGACAGTCAGGAAGATCTTCTTGTGCTGTCCCGAAGATGCATGGCTGACAGACACGGAGGGGATTGTTCTGTCCCGGGAGATGGCAAAACAATAGTCCTTTGAGGGGGGAAACCCCTTCCTGCCGAGTCTGCCGTTAGCTGGAGCGCTCGTGGTAGCGTCCTGAGGAACAGAACGGCAGACCTTGGCCAGGTGCCCTCTCTTCCCGCAGCGTCGGCAGACAGCATTTTTAAAACGACAAAAAGCGCGGGGATGTTCTTCCCCACAGCCGAGGCAGGGCGCAGAAGTCAGTCTCTTATTCGGTGGCCTCTTGTTACCCCCAGCTGCTTTAAGGCGGTTCACCTCGTCTTCGTCATCAGAAAGGTTGTCGGGGCAAGCATCCCCGATGTGAATAGCGGCACAGCGGGTGGCTGGTAGGGCGGTTGGAAGTCTACGCATCTCTGCCGCCGACCTGTCCGACATTTCAAAAGCACGAGCTTCGTCTACAGCCGACTGCAAGGTGATATCAGTTTTGGCTAAGAGGCGGCGCTGCAGCCGCAAGTCGTGCACCCCGCAGACCAATTGTTCGAGGAGGGAGTCGTCAAGGTTCTCGAATTCACAATTAATTGCTTCCTCCCGGAGGGCAGCAAGGTATGTGTTAAGGGATTCCCCCTCCTTCTGCAATCTCTGACGGAACAGGAACCGGCGGGCAATTCGAGAGGGGGCGGGTGCGTAGTGGCCCTTCAGTTTCGCCAGCAAGGTGGGCCAGGGAACTGTGGACACAGAGAGGGGAGCTACTAGAGCCCTGGCCGTAGCAAAGATTTGAGGCCCACAAGCATTTAAGAAGTGGGCTCGCTTCCTGTCATTAGAAAAGTCAGTATAATCATTGGCTTGTAGGAAGCACTCAAAACGCTCGATGTAAGCGTCCCATGTCTCTGAAGCTGGCACAAAAGGAGCGAATGTTGCCGGGTTAGCCATCGTGAGAGAAGAAAACTGTCACGAAAATTTTTTCCCCTCAGAATCAGGAAATATCTACCTTCCGCAGTGGGAACTGAGTTCAGGATACGCGATGCCGTTGCTCAGTGAGAGGATCCCATCCTCGTCGCCAAAATAAATGATGGTTTGTCACACAATCAGCCGGATGTCTGTGGAGATTTCTCAGACATCCAGGTCACGGTTGTCCCAAAGGAGCTTTTTTCCGGAGGCAACTGGACTTTTTGGTTTTTTCTTTGAAGAGGTTTTGCTTCTCAGCAAAGAAGTTTCTTCAGCTCTGACAGGATAGTGGGGAATGGAAGGATTTAGATTTGCAGATAGCAATTTCAAAAGAAAAAACAAGAAAGTCCGGGTGAAAAAGCACCTTTGGGTAAGGTGACCAGACGCCCCGCTTTTGGCGGGACAGTCCCGCTTTTGAGCAATTTGTCCCGCGTCCCGCGGCGTTTCAAAAAAGTCCCGATTTTTCTTGAGCCCCAGCTGATGGCTAGAAGAAAAAAAAACTGTTTAAACTCTTGCCCGGGGCTTCAAAGGGCCGCCTTACAGGCAATCAGTGTAAAGCAGTTTTTTTTCCCCCTAGCTAAGCTTCAGAAACGAAACCGAAACCAGAGTCGAGAGGCAGAGAGAGATTTATTTTTATTTTTATTTTTCCTCCCCAAAAAAGGTAGGTGAAAAACTGCAAACAATGGGAAATTTAGGAGGAGAGTTCAAGATTTTAAAACACAAAGGAAAAAAAGCTGTATTTAACTAGGGAATTGTAATAATTGAGATACTATTAATTGTATATTGTGTTGAAAGCAGAAATGGTTAAGTTGTGGTTCGGAGGAATATATGGGAGAAATTATTTGGTTTATTATTATTGGTAAATATAATTAATTGATTTGTAAGAAATTGGATTGCATGGAAATAATTGGAATATTCATGTTCATATTGATTAATATACAAAAAAGATAGTTTTATAACTAATTGATTTATATTAAAATGTTGAATTTGTATTAAACAACTGTATTACATAATTACATAATTAAACAATGTGAGGATGGATATAAAAATAGATGACAATGGGAAGGGGTATAATATAGAATAGAAGGGAAAAATTGAATTTGATTAAGATTAGAGATGAGGATGAAGGGTAATATTGGTTTTTTTAAAAAATAGATGAGGAATAAATATGGCAAAAAGGAAATATAGAAATTGTAAATTTAATTGAAATGACTAAACGCTGTTTAAATTTGTGAACCAGCCAAATATTCTGTTCAAAGAAAATACATTGTATGTTTGTATGTGTGTTTCTAATTATTGCTATTTATTCATATTTGTTCTCTTTTATTCTTTAAAGTTTAACAATTCATTCTTTATCTTAATATCTTTATATTTGCTTGGGGTTGGCTTTCTTCCCTTTCATCTTTTTTATTGTACAGCAATCTTTCTCCTCAAACCTACCACCTCTCTCTTTTCTTTCTTTCTTACTTTCTCTTCCCCCCACCCTCTTTTTCTCCTCCCTACTTCCTCTTTCTTTCTCCTTCTCCTCCTCTCTTCCTCCCTCTCTTACCCTCACTCCTACTCTAATTTCCATTCCTTCATCCCTCTCTATTGCTGTAATCCTTTAATGCATATGGACTACTCAGAGGGCTGAAAAAGTTATTTTTGACTGGTCCTCACACTTTTGACCCAGTCCTTGAACTTATGACTGTCCTCACATTTTACATTTTTGCCCTATCTTGTCATCATGGTGAAGAGAAGCAGTTGTGAAATGAGTGACATGGTTGTTAAGAATGCTGCATGGGCATAAATGTGAGGATGGTCATAAGTGTGAGGACCAGTCAAAAGTGCGAGGACCTGTCAGAAATGACTTTTTTCAGCTCTCTGGTTAGTCCTTTTGTGCATATGGACTACTCAGAGGGCTGAAAAAGTTATTTTTGACTGGTCCTCACACTTTTGACCGGTCCTCGAACTTACAACTGTCCTCACATTTTACATTTTTGCCCTATCTTGTCACCTTGTTAAAGAGAAGCAGTTGTGAAATGAGTGACATGGTTGTTAAGAATGCTGCACGGGCATAAATGTGAGGATGGTCATAAGTGTGAGGACCAGTCAAAAGTGTGAGGACCTGTCAGAAATGACTTTTCAGCCCTCTGAGTAGTCCCTATAACATAGCCATGGCCACCCGGTCACATGACCAGGTAGCCACGCCCACCCAGTCACATGGCCTCCAAGCCACGCCCACACAATAAGCCACGCCCACAATGGTGTCCTTCTTACCAATGTTAAAATCTGTTCACCTTACCCTATAGACATAGCCATGGCCACCCGGTCACATGACCAGCTAGCCATGCCCACCCAGTCACATGACCAGCTAGCCACGCCCACAAAATAAGCCACACCCACAATGTCCCTCTTTACCAATGTTAAAATCTGGTCACCTTACCTTTGGGACAACCATGACTTGGAGAACTGAGAATCTCTACAGACTTCTAGCTATACAATTTGGGATGAAGACCCTTGGCATGGTGTGGGAGTAGGAATGGATTTCCAGAGGAAAAATTCCAGGCTACAGGAACCATTTGCACCACTCAGGTGACCCTGAGGACACAGATAAACCTCCAAGTGCTTCAAGGACCTTCTAAAAGGGTCAAAAAAACAAACAAACCTAAAACCTTCCTCAAGAAGCGTTCCCTGGATCCAGACTCACTTAATAACTATCGTCCCGTCTCCAACCTTCACTTCATCGCGAAGGTTGTTGAGACTGTGGTGGCTCAACAGCTCCCAGAATTCCTAGAGGAAACGGAATACCTTGACCTGTACCAATCAGGCTTCCGACACGGTCACAGCACGGAAACGGCACTGGTCGCTCTGGTGAATGATCTCTGGTGGGCTCGGGATGGGGGTTGTTCCTCCATCCTGGTCCTACTTGACCTCTCAGCGGCTTTTGATACCATCGACCATGGTATCCTACTGCAGCGACTTGTGGGGTTAGGGGTGGGAGGCACTGTCTTACGGTGGTTTTCCTCCTACTTCTCGGGTCACTTTCAGTTTGTATGGGCGGGAGGGCAGAGATCCACCCCGAGGCCCCTTAATTGTGGGGTGCCTCAGGGGTCGGTTCTCTCCCCCCTGCTCTTCAATATCTATATGAAGCCACTGGGTGAGATCATTCGTGGCTTTGGGTGAGATATCATCAATATGCTGATGATACCCAATTATACATCTCCACCCCAGACCACCCCAGAGATGCCCTTTCCGTGATGTCCCGTTGCCTGGAGAAGGTACGGGCCTGAATGGGCAGAAACAGACTCAAACTCAATCCCTCCAAGACTGAGTGGCTGTGGATGCCGGCATCTCGGGTTTCAGAGGCTCCATCACTTTTGATAGATGGGGAAAAACTTGCACCCGTTGATAGGGCTCGCAACTTGGGTGTCCTCCTAGATGCTCGGCTATCCCTAGAAGACCATCTAACGGCCGTGACCAGGGGGGCCTTCACACAGGTTCGCCTGGTCCGCCAGTTGCGCCTTTTCCTGGACCGAGATGACCTTCACACAGTCACTCATGCCCTGGTTACTTCCCGCTTGGATTACTGCAATTTCATCTACATGGGCCTGCCCCTGAGATGCACCCGGAGACTCCAGCTGATCCAGAATGCAGCTGCACAGGTTGTTATGGGAGCCCCTCGTTACTCCCATATAACACCCCTCCTGCGTGAGCTGCACTGGTTACCAGTGGTTCTCCGGGTCCGCTTCAAGGTGCTAGTCCTCACCTATAAGGCCCTTCATGACTTAGGTCCGGGATATTTGCATGACCTTCTCCTGCCTGCCTCTCACCGTCCTGTTCGCTCACATAGGGCCGCTCTCCTCAGGGTTCCAACAGCGAGCCAATGTCACCTTGCTGTGCCCAGGGGTAGGGCGTTCTCTGTGGGTGCTCCCACCCTCGGGAATGAATTACCTACTGAGCTCCGGACAACTCCTGATCTCCGCTCCTTCCGTCGGGACTTGAAGTCTTGGCTTTTCAAACAAATAGGCTGAGACTGATTCCGGGCTTTATTATTTACTACTAATTAATTATTTGGATTAAATTATGATTTTATTGTACTTGTTTCTTAATTTGTGTTTGCCGCCCTGTCCTTCGGGAGAATGGCGGCATATAAATACATGTAATAAATAAATAATAAATAAATAAAAGGATGCAAATGACCAGCTGTCTGCAAGGAGTATAAATCCTTCTTTTCCCCATGATCCTGTCATGGGGAGCTGAAGGAGCTTCTTGGATGAGAAGCGAAATGTCTTCAAAAGAAAAAACAAGAAAGTGGACTTCCGGTTTTTCTGGTTCCGGTGAAGACGGTGCCTTTTTAAGGACCCCGCCGTTTGTAGAGCCGCTTCGATCGTGAGAAGCGGCTTGGAAACTCCAGAATCTGCAGGATTTGAAGGAGAGAGTAAGCAAGGCGCAGGTTGAGCCCCTGTGAGCCCCCAGAAGTTTGCTATTGGGGGGGAAAGAGGCGTGGCTCCCTTCCAACTTGCGAAGACTCCGAGCGGCGTGGGACAACTCTGCTTTTTGCAGAGCAAGCCGGCAGCAGCAAACACAAAAATCGAATGAAACTAACTTTACCAACTAAAAAAAACCTGAACCCTGAAACCAAGGAACTGCAAGTATTCTTTCTCTTTGTGATTTCCCGATTTTACTAAAAACTAACACGAGCGGAAGCGGCTTGAAAAGATGGCGCCGCTCCAGCGTTAACAAGTTAACAAGCTGAAAGGGAGAGTGATTTCCTAAAGCTATTCCAACAAGTTACATTGTTGCGCTGTTTGTAGCAAGCACAGGAGAAGAGGGGGAAAAATCCCTTTTTAAAACAAGTTGATCTTACAGTCTAATTCTACTTCTAATTTGCTTAAAACTGGGGGACTTTTTTAGAGGACTTTGTGGTGTTGGACGAGGAAAAAGGATTTCCCTTCTTAGAAAATCTAACCTACGTGGCAAAATGGCTTCTAAAAAACAGGAAA